TTCTTCATATTTATTTTGGCACTGAAAAAAAATTTGGGTACCATCCTTAAAGTCTGAGCCTCCAACAGACGCTTCACCATTTTCAGCCTTACTTTATTAAATTTTGAATATATTCTGGCACTAATATTGTTATTTATAATGTGGCTTTTATATTTATTACAGTGTCACATTTTTTATGCTCGTGTGGAAAACAATTTTTCGCTGGGTCCTTATCTGATCACACTGAGTCATGCAACGTCTTTGCCAGTATTTGAATTATGGAGATGATAATGCGTTCGATTTTGGTTTTTTGGTCTTGGATTTGCATTCGCTATGATCCTTTAACCGCCATAAATACATATACATTTTTTTTTGCGACCAAAGACACTTGGCTAAAAACGCAACTCAAAGTTGGTCAATTAAGTGCCATGTACTGTCCACAAGCCATCAGGACTTGACCAGGGTCCAGAGCTCTGGACACGCTTACACTCCGCTTAATTGAGTTTATTAGCCTCTTCCCAGTGGCCTGGGAAACAACAAAAATAAAAATATTTATATATATAATCATACATATATATATAAATTCGGTGCGGACATCGAGAGCAGCTACCTTGCCACAGAAATAACGGTAACATCAAAATATTTCCTTTACAACTTGTCCAATTCTCCTTCAGCCGTCTCCATTCCGCTTGTCATGCTCGGCCTCCTCCACCACCCCCTCCAACGACCCCTTTCCCTTTATTTGTTGGCCAAATTAATGACACTCACTCACCGGGATATGTACATACCAACATAAATGTGAAATGATAAAAAAAACTAAGGAAAATGCAATTTCTGAAATAATTAAATATGAAGGCCCACATTTCTTTTTGGCCACATCTTGAAGACGGTTCTCACATGCCACGGAAATTTGAAATACCTCTCTTGTTCGTTTAATTTTTAGGTCAACATTTTATTTGCAATTAGCTGAGCAGAACATATAAAATATGTAAATTGCTTACAGGTTTGTTGGTTTTGGATATCGGGGGTAGGAAATATTATAAGAATGGAATTAAAATTATGGTGGGAACGTGATCTACAAACACGGTTTTTGGGGGATACAAGAATATACATTTTAATATCAGATTCTAAATGTGTAAAAAATGTAGAATTTATTAATATGCTGAAGCTTCTATATAAACTCCAAACTTAAATACTTTGACTAACTTATTATAACTATAACTTATATTATAACTAACTTTGACTTATTTTCAAAGGAAAAAAGCTGGGTCAATAGCCAAGTTAGTGGGAAAACTTCAAGAGAAAAATGTCAAGTTGGCAACCCATTCGGAGCAACAAATTAATGAGTTCACTTTGGACCAAAGAATGCTGCAAATAAAAAATAGACAAGACACTTGCCACTTGAACCCGTGCTCTCATTAAGCCTCACACAGTTACCCACACAATTATACGGCAGCTGCTTCTGAGATGAAAGCCGGGCCTGAATGGCGTTGTTAGCCAAGACTAAAGCTGAACTCAGATGGGAGAAAAAAACTCTCACTAGGCACTTAAAAATTAACGCTTTTGACAGCCAAACGGACTTTCAAATACAACCACATGGAGCCAAAGGCAAAATAAAATACAAAAAAACAAGCAAAGAGCCAAAAAGCCGGACGACTGACTTCCCGCTCGAAAACTCTGGGATTGTAACGAGTAAGCGCAACAAAGTGTCAATGCGGCTTTGAGGCAAGTTTAACAAGATTGGCAGCGACGTCGTCTTCGGCGGACGAATCTTAAGATTTTTCTCATAAGGTGCAAAATCTCTCGACATCATAAAGTGGAAATACAACGGAGCAGCCGCTGTTCAGGGGGAAGTAAACTGACTGGAGACAACAGAAACATGCACAGAGATGAGCATCCATAAAAAGAAACATTTTCGAGTGGAGATGGTGTGTTTTCGGTGTTACATATATTTTCCTCGAAGCTCCTAATTAGCCAAAGCCGGTTCTTTCGGTCTTTTTGGGCTGCTGTTGTTGCCGTTTAATATTTTATTATTCTTGGGTCCAGCCCCCGACTCAAAATAAGCGAAAAACAATGGAGCCGTAAAAATCTGGGGATAATAAATAAATTAACTCCTTAACGATGACAAGAAGCCAGCTGGGACCGGGCTTAAGCGGCGTTGGTCGGCCTGCAGCTTCAATGTCTCAATTAAGTTGTTCAAGCTCATTGTTTTCAAATTTTCGGCTTAATTTTCTTATGGTTATGGCTGCTTTGTTTTTAGTTTTGCTTATCATCTCATCTCCAATGAAATGGCGGAAATTTGTAAGCGGCCACCGCGGCACTTCCATCTCATAAAGCCCCAAATCTGGTTACTAACCCTGAAATCTCACAGAATACAACATGCCCTTGCCATTTTCATTGTAATCACGTCTTAATTAACTAATTAGCTAATTTGCAAACAATTAAGCTGTGGCAGGAAAAGAAAACTGAAATCCTATGAAATCTTTGGCAAAGTTGTCGAGTCATTTGATTGCAGATTGCGGATCGGAGATTGGACAGCTGCTGGCGGAGTGAAATTGCTAGGAAAGTGAGGTGAGCAAACAAAAAACATTCCATTTAATGCATAACATAAATATTTGTACATCGAAAGAAAGAGTGAATGGAAAAATGGAAATTAGTGTCTGAAAATAAATGGAAATTTACAAATTATGAGAATATTTCGTACCCGTAATGCCAAGAAAAGTATTTGCTTTTTCAGTCTTAATGGAAAGTGTTTAAGAGTTTCATTAAAAAGAAAATGGGAAAAAATTGTCAGAATTAAAGGCGTTTTTGGTTTTGAAAAATAAAAAACACATAAAATATTTCATCGCTGCCCCCATCGGCTGTATATAGATAGTTCCAGCCTCACCTGGCTTTGATGTGCGACTGAAACCTATTCATCAACTTTCGATGTTGTTGCAAAACTCAGTTCCCACGTTTTGCAAATAAATATAAAAAAAACAGCAGAGAAGAAAATCTATAGTAGTTTTATAACTGTACCAAACAAGAGGCATTCACTTTGGCCTGAGAACATTTCGAGCTGCCCACCTGCAGCAGAGACACTGCTCACAAAAACCATAAAGGAAAGAAGATCTCTGTTGTTTCAACCCCAAAAAAGTGTATAGAACACGAAGATCAAAACCACGCAAGAAACTATGAGTACCTGCCGCACAAAAAGCATTTCCAAACAATTGAGTTTTCGAAATGACAATTTTCCTTGATGGGAGTTGGAAATTGGAACAATGCCGAGAGCTGACATTGCACCTGAGCCCGCAGCTCTTTCTATTGTCCGGGCCACAGAGAAAATAATACTTTTTTAAATAATTACCAAAAAAATACAAAGCAGACACGAAGAAGCAGCTGCAAAAAGCGAAAACTGAAAAAAAATTAAATTTTGGCGCCCCAAACTGAAAACAAGTTCGTTGCCTGAGTCTTTCGTTTTTTTCGGATAAAGGAAGCTTGTTTTTTGGGGTCTCGATTTAACGCTTCACAACTGACAAATGAGCAGCATATCCTGTTGATCCTGCTCTCGGGAAATAATAATAATGCTTGCGCACAAAAAATATTAATTGCGAAAATAATTAAAAACTCATAAATTAGCGCATACCATATAACTGCAGGCCGAGTGCTGAGCCGGGCCAAGTGCAAATTTAATTATAGCCTACATTAATTAATTCATTAAGGAAAACGAGTGAAGAGAGCAAAGAGTGTTTTTTGCAACTAACTAAATCAATCAACGCCAAATACAGACGATCAAAAGGTTCCCTAAGGACACGGCCTGATGGAGTTGCAACCGGTTTGTCGTCACTCCTTTTTGGCGTCCTTAGAATAAGTTATGCAACTGTTGATGCACTGTGCCAAAAAACTTAATATTTCTAAAACGTTAACTAGGGAAAATTATGTAAAGTTTAGCCATCAAAAGGCTTTATAAGCAGTTTATACTGTAATAAAATATTGGAACTATTTTTAAAGTTCCAGAACTCAGTAGTTATCACATTTTTTACCGTGCTTTATAGGGAGTTGTTCTCCCTTCGGCTTTCATAATTTATTGATTTTATATGGCGTCACATTTGTCTCTCCTCCGCCATCCGCTGACAGTTTTTGCCACTGTCGGACATTTTGACAGTTGCAGGTTGTCATCGACCAGATCCCCTCTACCATGCCTCCCCACCCACTGATATATCCTCTCCGGGTGCATCCTCCTGTCAGTTGTAATTGCAACTGACGCATTGCCAAAAATACGCATTCGGTTCGTATTCGCCCCATCATAAACTCAACTGTCATTTCAATTTCCCCCATTTCGGGTGCAAGGTGCTCTCGACTCGGTTCAGCCTATAGCATTTATAGTGACCAGTCAAATGTATGATTAAGTAATATCCCAATGCCGTAATTTCTGCCCTCCTTCGGATCTGAAAGGAACTTCCAGGCTTAATTCGTTTTGTTGCCGAGTGAGTTTTTTTTTCCATAATTTCGATAGTATTGCGTAATAAAGTTGATAAGCGTGGGGAATACGAGTTTCCAGCCGATAAGGCATGCAAATTATATACTTAACTGAAAAAGGGTGGATATCGTAGAGGATCTTAACGTCGATCCTTCTGGTGGGAAACTTTTATGTTGCCCCTGAATTGAGCTGTTACAGCTTTTTGTTTTCAGTTTTAATTGCAAGGTCTTAACCAGCCTAGTTTTAAGTTTATGATACAAAATTTACTTTAAATATAAAGGGGGCTATATAAATAAAGAATATGAATTTATTAAGGCATAATAATATATTTAATAAAACTGCATCTGCCACAGTTGAGCAACTTCAACCCTTTTGGAGCAACCAACTTTTGATGAATAGATAATAAATTATAAAAAAAAACCTGTCCAAAAAGAAATTTAATTTATACCTTTAACACAAGAACCCTTTCTTCTAACACACCTTTCCTCTTCTCCCAAATAAAGAAAGGCAGCTGCTAAAGAGCGCTAATTTCCACAACCAAAAATGAAGTTTAACGAAACAATTAAAATGCAATTTCGTGCAAAATCATTTGGCAAGGAGAGCTGTGCAGCTGCCAAAAGCTGAACCTGTTGCAGATGTCTATCTGTCGCTGGCCGCTCATTAAATTTATTAATTTCTGATATCAAGACTTGAAAATTTCGTTTGCTTTGCATTTGTGTCGCCTGCCACATGCAACAGAAAGCGGCGATCCATGCACCGTGACCAATTTTCCCCGAAAAAACGAAAACAGACAACATTGATATAAAAAAACTACACTTGTACGTATAAACCTATAGTAACCCCAACTCCGTGAAGAACTTCTTCAACCCTTGCGGATGAACTACGAGCGTTAAATTTTCGGCTTGACGTGCATCGCATTATTCTCCACTGCCCGTTCGATTTCTTTGCTTTCTACACTCACATCTTCCATGGTTTGTTGTGTTCGTGAACAGGTGTAATGATTTTTGGTTTGCACCTTGACTTTCTGCTTCCGTTTCAGTTCGAACGAGGCTTGTCGATAAGTTTCTTGGGGCAAGGCTTTGGGTAATTTGTGGGCATTTACTTCCTCGACGTTGAGCTTCCGAACAGGGTGTCCTGTTTCGAGTCGTCCTCCATCAACCTTTGCTGTCTCATAAGCCATGCTATATTAACAGTCGAAGGATTTTCTTTCTCTAAAAAAATTATATACATATTAAGCATCTTTATGAATTTTTCAAAACAATAGCTTACTCACCCAGCTCCTTACGGCGTGTGTATTCCTCCGACTCGGTCTTCACACATTGGGCCAGGATGTAGTGCAGCAACGGAAGCACAACAATCAATTTGGGAAAGGTCCTCCAAGCTACTTGCATGATAATGTGTGTCTAACTTTTATTTGAATATTTATAAAAATTGTTCAGAATATGAAAATGTGTTTGAGGTTACTAAGTTTTAAAAGGGCACCCTATTCAGTGTCCTCTTTCTTTGCTTAATTGTTAACTTTTTGCTAAGGACTTTATTAGCCCAAATAACGCAAACGAATCAAACACTGAAAGAAATTTAAAATTATACCATATATAGCATTTATGCTAATATATATATGTATTTTTTATACATTTAGTTAAAATTTATGTAGTTTATATTAGTGTGTTATAGATAGATGTGTAGATATAGATGTATGTTACATACTCTTCGATTTACGAATAGATTAATTCAATGGATTGCAATCAATGTTGCTTTTTTCAATAAAGTTTCTCAGTGCAGCCCTTAAAAAGGATATTTTGTAATCTAACCGCAGGGCAACTTCCTCAATATCAATCATTACGCTCGGCTATATTACCAACCCCTTAGCCATATCCGTGCCAAGACTTTCTTCATAATGCATTTTTAGTGCGTTGTCCCCGACACAAAGTTTCCGTTTTACGAGTACATATATTTTTATAAACCGTTCTCCTTTTTCGGGTAAGCTGCAATTTTCAGGTGTTAGCCGAGAGCTTCCAGCCAACTGGCCAGCCAAGCGAACTGAATTCAGCTCAACCCTTTCATTAAAAAGGGAACTAAAATGATATATTTAATCCGTTCGGTCAGTGAAGCGAATGCTTGTCTCGGAGCAATGACAGCGAATGATAAACCTGATATGGAACACACTTAAGGGCTCAACTTGGTAATCTGCAGTGTGCTCAAGTAGAAACAGCAGCTACGAAGTCGGGAATACAGCAGCTATAGCGTCAACTGAAGAACCACGCAACCAAAATTAAAACTCCAGGCATTGAGGTTGGAGGGGTATATGTATAGTTGGAGATCGGAGATCGTTTCCAGTCGTGCAGGTGGATTTCTCAAGTGGCTGCGTCCGCTTTCTTGGCTTTCCTCACCATCAGTCTCTCTCTGTTACTGGCTATACTATCCCGCTCCATCTTCATGAGTAGGATGACGATCTGCCACCGAGTCAGGCCGAGAAACTCAAGACCTCTGGAAGTAATAGATACATCTGCACTTAGTCTGAAGTGAAACAAGTGCGTCTTAGAATAAAGGGTTGACTAATGCCAGATGTTTCAAATACAAAATCCTTACGTATATTTGATAGAAACTTTTCAACTATTTTTAAATTGAAACCTATTGGATTTTCCGATTTATGATTGATAGATTTATGGCCCCAATTCCTTATACTTTACTCATTAGCTCCCCGTAACTAGACCTTTATAAAAATGTCCACAAAAAATGTAGTAAATGTCAGTTTCTCACATTTATAATTCGAAGAGGGATCCAAGGAACGGCAGTTGTCACCGACATTATTTATGCTTGCTTAAGATTTTCCCCGGAGATCCTTGAGGAGTTTCCTTTCGGGGGGTGTGACAGCATGGGGAATTGCAATTGTGTGCGGTGTCAAAAGTCGCACAGCAATCCATCAATTTAACAGCCATGGAAAATCAACACAATGCCAGGCCATTGTATGGAATATGTCAGTCAGAGAAATGAAGAAAACGAGAACTCCAGCACAAACGGAGCCAGGACAAAGGACACAGTAGTCGTCACAGTTTGGGGTGGAAGTAAGAAATGCGAATAAGAAACAGTATGATTTCCTTTTTCTTTGACTTCTTGGCTTGTTTTTAGGGGGAAAAAGATGCCACAAAGGAAGTAAGTGCATTTATACAGAAATCATCGGCCAGGGCAGACAGAGCAGGGCAACTGTGTGTCCTTTGTGGCATGTTTGCGCAATGTTAACACGCAGCAGCTCGGCAAACTTTAAGCTGTTCAAACATTTTGCAACAGCAGCTGGCTCCAGTGTCAACAAACTCTCACTAACCTCTGGTTTTTTGCTCCAGTCTAGATACATCTCTTCTCCAACGCGTGCCATATGCCCATGGCCCGAAATGTCAACTCCCGGCCCGGTGTAATTAAAAACCGCACACCCTCTGATCGCCGCTGCACGCTGATCACTTATTTGCGTACGAGGCATGGCTGCCTGCCCCAAAATCCACTTTCAACCTGCTGCTGCCGGTGACCAGATTTTGATTGGCTTCGCGGCCTGCCCTAAACAAAGGAAAAGTAAACCAAACCAAAACCTTCTCGTGGCAGCCGGCGACCATCAGGCTTCACTTCACGTATGCTCCTCGATTTTTTGCACTTGCTTCAGTTTTTTGTAGGTTTTCGTGTGTGGCATAAACGAGCGACATCATGCCTCAAACATTCCACACGATAACTTTTGGCAATAAAATTTAAGCTCGCCTTTAAAAACTTGTCTGGCACCGCTCTCTTTGAATATTTATATAATTTATTTTAATGTTTATGAAGCATTACGGTAGAAAGTGTTATCCTTAAGTATGATGTCCGTTTTCCGTGCTTCAATTTAATATCCCAGTACATTGTGTGTCATTATTAAAATGGGATTTAAGTTTGGTTAAATCTGTAACCTCTTTAAAGAGAAACTTCTTTGTCAAACTATAGACTTGATTATTTTAACCTCTTTGGTTTTTCTAGGAAGCCATTTCATACCTCTGCTTGACATTCCGATTGGCTGTGTGTTACTTCTCATTTCCCCAGTAGACATCAACTGCTTTGCATAAAAACCCTGTAAACAATCCAGACACGAATACAAATCAAGCCATCATCGTACCTAACAAATTCATTGGAAATTGCAAATGGTCAACGTAGTTATTTGAACGCTTTTAAATCGATGGGGCGTTGGCCAAAACGTCTGATTGTTACAGGAATATTTCAATCCAAGATGTGAAGTGATGGAATTTAAGCATTATCAAGTAATACTTAATTCTAGTCTTCAAAATTAATTAAAATGCAGATGTTTGTCTAGCTAAGAGACCTCTAAACTGCCTCTGTTGTGATTGCTGCCATTTTGCAGGACTCTACCAACAACCCAGAGGAACTGCAGCTGCCACCAGGACCTGAACAAAACAAAAAATAATAACACAAAAGTAAATCTTTCCTGCATGTTAAAAAAGGAATCCATTTGGGCCAGTGCAGCCTGTTGCACTGCCAGCATCCAGCTGATCCTTGGGTCGAATTTAAGCAAAGTACCTGCTGTGGCCACCAACTGCCTGCCCTAAGAGATTCGTTTCATTTGTTGCACGTTTACCAATTACCTACTACCAGAAACCCCTCGGCAATCTGTTGCTCTTGCACATGTCTCTGATTCTCAAATCCCCGAATCTCGAATCCCTATTCCTGTTGAGCGTAAAAAAATAATGCCGAACCGAATTTGATGCCATGACGATGGCAAGGTGTTTCACTGACCCTGTTCTTCAGTATCTCTCTAAACATTTGGAGTGATTTCTGTTTTCGCGGAATGTTCAATGGAGGAAATTTCCACCACATGTTGCTGCCACTTAGGGGAACCCTTAGAGAAGTTAGTACAGTACTTGGTTTTTCAATATGTTAAGGATTTTCCATTTTTGCCAGGAGATTCCTTTCGAGTTAGCACTTTGCTGAAGTACACTTTTCTTAGAAACTTTTCCATTTCAATAACAGATTTAACTCATTTTTTGTAGGAAAATTATCTCGTTTTTCTGGCTTTTATTTTTAATAAATCCTAAATCTAATCGCTGGTTGTCGTTGCCGCCCACCAACTGCTAATAAAGTTGTCATTTCTGCACGATTGAGCAGTTAAGCAAACATTTTCAAGCCGAAAGCAGGGGCGACCCCCCCTGAGACAGCACGTAGAGTAAAATGGCCAACAATTACCAGTCGCAACGGCAGAGAGTCATTACAGTGGCCAGAGCCAAAGATGGCCATAACGAGCAAGTGGCGCTCTATAATCATGGACCCAACATGGAGATGGGGATCGAGATGGAGCTGAAGTCGGAGTCTTACATGGTGGGGGCCCTGGTACTCGCACCGGCTCAGCCACTGGCACTCTAAATCAATTAACAGTCACGTCAAAAGTGTTGAAAATCGGAGCAGGAGATAGACAAGCTGATGGGGCTGGGAAAGTGAGGTGCAACCTGTCGGGCGACTCTCCGTCCAACATTGAAGGCTAATCAGCATGCAAATAATGTTGCCGCCCATCTGGCACAAGATTAAGAGCCAAGCGGCTGTGATATAGCCACCGTGAAGGAGAACACTGCTGATGGAGGCTCCGGGGGCAGCAGCATACATACGTGATGGAGCTGAAAGAAGCCGAGCAAACGCTGGGCAAACCAGTTACAGATTGCCAAGTGAAATGAATTTGTTAACACCTAGCCCAAACGAGGCGGGCGTGCCACGCCATCTACCAATAATTATGTATGCGTCACGTCAAAGATACACTCCGAGAAAATTCATATACAGGATTTACCATGAAGTTTTCTAGAATATTACATCCAAAATTGTGATGATCCTTGAAGAGGACCTATTGTTATATTTCCTTATAGTTTTAGAGACCATTTTCTATGTGTAACTGACTTAGTGAAGCTGTGCTCTATTTGCTTTCCCATTAGCGGACAGGCGTAATATTTTGGTGTAATTATGTGTTGTCCTCCTGCTTGGTTTTTTTGCTCTCAAACATGTCTTCATTAGACCCGATTGCCAGCTGAAATGGTAATTGCGATTGTAATAGCGATCGTAATTGTAATGTCAATGGCATTGTTATTGTTATGATTGCAGCTCCAACTTGTCCGTTTGTTTGTCTCCTTGATTGGCATTCACTTGCCACATTCAGATTGAGATCTTTGGGAAAACTGTAGCAGCAGGTTTTTCACTTTTATTTATGATGAAGATGTCAATCTGGTGGCCGAGTGGACCGTCCGAGTCGGCATTTGTTTGGCTTACCAATTGGCTTCTGCCACTAACTGGGGCTGTCACCGTTCGACTTGGTGGGGGACGACTTTTTTCCTTTTGGGCCATGCCTGGGAAAAGTTTTCTCCTGACGATCCAACACCAAAAGGGGAGAGTTAAGAAAGTTATTTATTTGCTGCGGCATCTTTTGTGGTAAGAACTAGGGTAATTGGACAACAAGTCAATCATAT